CACCCGGTTCTTCTTGTCTACCGCCCTTCCTAGTTCTATTGACCTCACGTTTCCTGGATTAACTGGCCGTTCCCCCCCCTCCCTCAGTCAACACAACACCATATATGGTCTTAATCGCTCCCCGCTGCTCCCATTGGTCTGTTCTCCCTAACCACCCCCCCCGCCTACTTCGTATATAAGCAGCGATTTCACATCCTATCACTACAGCTACTGCTCTCCGCATTCCAAGCTATTCAACTGCTCTGAAGATGGAGGCGCTACGTTCCTCCGAAACGTCGGCCAAAACGAAGAACACGGTGCCTAAACCCAGAAGACGACTTTCTTCATTAAGATGATTCTTGTTTATTCTTTATTACATGCTGTGATTTTTTATGTACAGTAATGTTGTATTCTAAGAAATTAAACGTAAATTATTTACTCACAGTTGGTTTTATATCATAGTTTTCATTATTGATTTATTTTTATTTTTCTTGCATCAACGCGGCTTCTTTGATATACTTGCTGCATGTTCTGTGGACGTGCTTTTCCCTAAAACTGCAGGGATTAGCAAGGGTTTCCATGTCTTTTATAACACTGTTTTGGTATTTGCCCCTGTTTGTTAGAAGTTAGAGCTTCTTCAACTCTATGACTTTCTTGCTGTAACGATGCACCTACCGATTGTTGGACTTCATTTAAAATTATAAATATTTCAAAAATAAGTCTGTATAGTGTCACTTCTTCTGTTTGAAGAGTAGAGGACTCGCATCTTACAATTGTTTCAGTTCTTTCACAGCTGTGCTCTGAAGTAGTTCAAAAATTGTGGTTGCCAGTTAGTCTTGCTATTTTCTATTACTATTAGAGTATTTTATTTTTTCAAGATGGATAAATTCCTTATACGTAGTGTTTCGTCCACGAGTGCAAGCATTGAGCCCGAAAAAAGAAACAAAAATTAGTACACCGGCAGTATAGTGTTAATTACTTATCTTACGGGTTTTTTGGTGTGGTGATAAAATGTGCCCAATCCCCGAGTGTATCATTTGTGGTGAAAAATTCAGCAATGCTGCTATGGTTCCCAGTAAATTGAAACGACATTTGTCAACAAAACTTCCTTCTCTAACAAGCAGAGGTGTCAATTATGTTCATTGCTTGTTGGAACAGAACAAAAAACAAAGAACGTTAATGACTGTGACAGTAAGTGTGACAGAAGAAGTACAGGAAGCAAGTTATAAGATAGCCGAAATTATCGTAAAGGTAAAAAATCCACACACAATAGCTGAAACGTTGTTAATGCCTGCTTGTAAAGAGATGGTGAAAATAGTCCTGGGTTCGGAAGCTGCTAGTGAAATTTCAACAATTCCTCTCTCTGCTGACACAAGCAGTCGCCGAGTTATTGACATGTCCAGTGACATTGAAGCCATTATGAAGGAGAAAATCAACAGCAGTCAGAAGTTCTCGCTTCAGATCGACGAGTCCACCGATATTAGCAGCCACTCACAACTTCTTGCTTACATTCGATATATCGATGGAGATGTAATTGCAACAAATTTCTTTTTTTGCAAAGAACTTCCTGAGTGAGCCACCGGTGAAGAAGTATTTCCTGTCACTAATGAATATGTGTTACATAATGAATTAAAATGGAAGGATTACATTAGTGTTTGTACAGACGGAGCCGCTACTGTGACAGGCCATGTTAAAGGATCTGTAACTAAAGCACGCAAAGTAAATCCTAAGATACGATGCGATCACTGTCTCATTCACCATGAAGCCATTGTTGCTAAGTCTTTGCCATCTTCTCTGAAAGTTGTGCTGGACGAAGTAGTAAAAGTCATGAACCTCATCAAATTGCGGCCCCTAAATTCGCGGCTTTTTTCCGTTTTATGTCAGGCAATGGAATCAGAACACACTACACTCCTACTACATACAGAAGTATGGTGGTTATCACGAGGAAAATTGTTAACGCGAGTATTTGAACTTAATGAGGAGGTATGTGCATTTTCGACTGTTGAGGGGCATGAGTACGTGGATTTATTTGCAGATGATGATTGGGTATGTAAGTTGGCGTATCTTCCCGATATTTTCGTACACTTGAATGAGCTGAACAGAAAGATGCAAGGTAGGAACGAAAATATTCTAACTAATATGGATAAGATACAAGGATTTGTAAATAAGCTGAATTTATGGATACAGAGAATTACAGATGGGTCGTTTGAGATGTTCCCAACTGTGTGGTCACTTGCTGATGGCACTAAAGTGGTGATGGACACAATTAAAGAACATTTAGAAATGCTACAGCAGAAATTCAATAAGTATTTTGGAGAGAATGTACAAGATTTTGACTGGGTTCGTGATCCATTTGTTGCGAATTCAGAACATCTTCCAATTAATATACAAGAGGAAGTCACAGATTTAAAAGCAATCAGAACATTGAAACTGAAACTTCTCGAAGTGCCTTTGGATACGTTTTGGTTGGCAATAAGGAGTGAATACCTGGCTATCTCCGAGATGGCAGTTAATGTGTTATTGAACGAATTGAATTGAATGAATTTGTGTGAACTAGGCTTCTCGACGTTAACTGAAATTAAGACATCAAAGAGGGAGCGGCTCAAATCCATCGATGAAGAAACGAGACTTGCATTGTCAATGATTCCACCACAGATCAATCGCCTGTGAGCACCTACGCAGGCGCAAGTATCACATTGAAGGCATGAGTAGAATTATTTAATTTAGTAGTAATAAAAATGTATTTTCTACACTCTACAGTGAATTAAAGTTCATTAATTGTTAATAAATACACAAGTCGATTTCTGTTTAATGATAATAAAATAACAATATAATATTATAGTAATAAGTTGATCACGTTATGTATTTATATTAATTGATATGATGCATTTTTGAGGGGAATAACATTTTGGTGTGCTGTGTTGAGTCATGGATACTTCATGGTGTGCCGCGAGTAGAAAAAAGGTTGCAGAACACTGCTTTAAAGTTTTAAATCACGTAGTTTTAAACAAAATATCTTGAAGGTGGTGGCCACCGTTCTCTATGCACTGATGCAACCGTTTTCTGAAGTTCCCCTCTGCACGTTCCAACATGTGCACCGGAATTTGGGCTACTTCCTGCCAAGTAACATTCTTCAGCTGAAGCAGGTTTGTGGGACGATGTTTAAAAACCTCTGCCTTGAGGTATCCCAATAAAAACAATCACAGGGCGTTAGATCAGGTGAGTGTGCTGCCCACGGGATGTCATGTCAAAGCGAGATGAGCCGTCCGGGGAATTTTGCCCTCAAAACTGTCATCGAAGCTCGGGCTGTGTGGGCCATGGCAGCATCCTGTTGGAACCAGACATTTCCTAGATGCCTTTCTTCAAGAGCTGGTTCAAAAAAGATCTCAAAATCGACTGTTGAACTGCCTCCACATTTTCTGGCGTCGTAACGCTCCGTTATCATCCTGATGATTTTTTTACCACACTCCTGGTTGTTCTAAAGTTCTCTACCCACAAAACTATCGATTTCTGCTCGGGAACCGGACCTCTGGGCTTAATTCTGAAGTGAGTACTGAACGCACGCTGCACTGTCACGTAGGAACGGTTGTTCGAAAAATAGGTTTCGACAGCAAACGCACGCTGCTCACTCGTCCACCTCATGTTTCCTACTGAGGGATATTAGACAGAAACTTCCGTGACTGCCGCATTCGCTGAGCCTATCCCCACTTTTCTGTGACCTCCCCTCCCTCCATAATGCGTCTTCAAAAAAAGGAAGTTTCTGCGCCCCACCTTGTGCATTGAAACAGAACTTATTAACACCCTCCCTCCCCACCCTCTAGTATATTTGCCATTTGTCATTAATTTTTTCAAATTTTAAGTCACGCACATATATGGAGTGCATTACATTATTTTTCACTGGGAAGTTTGCTTTTGAAATTTAATTTTATAATAATGAAGGCTAAATAACTGCATTCCATTACCACCTTTAATTTCTAGTTGTACTCACAAGTCAACATCACGTGTCTGGATTCAGGCCGTTTGATACCAAAAGCAACCTCAGAGCAAATCTCTTCCACATTGGTCCTTCTCCAGTCAGACAACATCTTGGAAATGGAATCTGCATTTTGTAACAGTCCAACCAGTGAATCCCAGATCTTGTTTAGTGAGATGAGTCGACGCAGAACCCGGCAAAAATGGTGTGCCACTGAAACATATATACCACTACCCAACAAGTTCGAAAATACTACAATTTTATCACCTACAAAATGTACAATCAGTTCTTTTTATATATTTTGAATACCTAACTCATGATCTCATTTATGTGGCCCAAGACAGAAACATGGACTCTAGAACCTGTTGAGAAGATCTATAAAAGTGTTATTTACTAACATTCTATAAACTATTTCTTATGTATCTTTGATACTCAATTCTTCATGGCAGATTTTCTAGTGTTAACACTTTCTCATCAAGTTTTGTCTACCCAGCTGTATTGAGTTCTGCAGGAAGCAAACAGTCAGTGTGCTCTACTCTTTAACATCCAATTCACAGTTGTTTTTGTTTTGACATGACATTTCTAAAAGGTTACAGAAAGAGGAAACAGTGTAAATTTAAACATTTTTCTTCTCTGCTATGCACAGTGCAATATAATTATCCATCCAGCTCACTAAGTAACTAACCAACTGTATGGTGCAGAATTTTTCTAGACCCTCTCCTGCACCACGTGAATCCATTCCACAACCCCATACCCTATTTTGTTAAGATCCATATTGCTATCATCATCACCATCTCTACCATCCTAATTACGTAGGTCGTACCAAAAGTCATGAGCAACTTTTTTTTGCATGCAACCTGGGAACAGCAGACGAAAGAGAGTATGGTGGTAGGTGTAACCAGCTGTTGTGTTAACCTTGAGTGTCTTGTGACGTCAATAGCTTGCATCACGTGACCAGTATCACTCCTCACAAAATGGCCGACAACCACATGTCGTTTCGCCACCGTGCTGTTCGAATTTCTTGTGAAAGAGGAAATCCCTGCTGCAGAAATTCACCAGAGACTTCAGTGTGCTTATGGAAGTGTGTGTGCATGGGTGCGAGCAGTGTTCGAAGATGGGTGAAACATTTTAAAGATGGGAACACCAGCATCGAAGATGAGCCTCGGAGTGGTCGTCCTCGAACAGCCTCAACTGAATGCAACAAGGAAAGAGTGGATGAGATCATTCAAGATGACAGGCATGTGACTGTGGACACAATAGCCTGAAAACTTGGAATAGGGCACAGTGCAGTACAGAAGACGATTGAAAGCTTGGGCTATAGGGAAGTTTGTGCTCGTTGGGTCCTGCGGTTATTGACTGAAGACCACAAAGGTCAGCAAAAAGCCATCACCTCAGAACTGCTGCAGAGTTATCGACATGAAGGCAATGATTTTTTGCTCTGTACTGTGACAGGTGACGAAAGCTGGTTTCAGCATTTCGAGCCTGAAACGAAACGACAGAGTAGGGAATGGCACCATTTGCATTTTCCATCACAAAAGAAGGTAAAGACAGTGCCATCAGCTGCGAAGGTGATGGGCACAGTCTTCTTCGATGCAGAGGGGTTTATTCTGGCCGAATTCCTGGAACCTGGGCAAACGATCAATGCTACTCGTTATGTCCAGACGCTGCACAAGCTCCGTCATGCATTGCGCAATAAGCGTCCGGGACGAAACATGATCCTGCATGACGCTTGTCCCCACGCTGCTCGCCTCACATTGGAAATAATTGCAAAGATGGCATGGGAAGTTCTTCCACACCCCTCCTATAGCCCTGATCTGGCACCCTCCGACTACCATCTTTTCGTATTTGTGAAGGATCAGCTGTGTGGACAACGTTTTGAGACAAGGGAGGCAATTCAGAATGCAGTGCATCATTGTCTTCAGATGGCTGGAATGGAATTTTACAGAAGGGGAATTTTCAAACTCCCAGAACGCTGGGAGAAATGTGTACAAAGAAGTGGTGATTATGTGGGAAAATAAAGAAAGGTCTGTAGATTGAGGTGGTGTATTTTGTTTGTCAATAATAAAGCATGTTACTTTACAAAAAAATTGTTGCTCATGAATTTCAGTACGACCCTCGTATATATAAATCTCGCCTGTGCTCTCTATATTTCTGCTTCCCAGCCAAAATTGTATATACATTTTTAAAATCTCCCAGAAGCATGCATTCCTTGCCCATATAATCCTTCTTGATTTTTTCACCCTGATAATATTGTGACCCGTAAATCCACTGGTAAGCAACATCTGCAACACACACATGGTCCAACATGCAACAGTAGAATAATTTAGTTATGTAACCCATTTTTAGGCAGTGGCTCGGTAAACACACTTCCATACATCCACAATGACATCACACCCCAACAGTGCTTAGCTGTCTTGTTTTTTCTGTGTGGTCCGCAGTAGAACTGTGTTTTCTGCATTGTCCATGCTGTGGCTATATAACAAGAGTCTGCTTGCAGCTGAGAAGAGTTTTTAATTGAGTTCCAAGGTTCCAGGGTGATTGAACAAGAAATGGCAAGAAGACTTCATACTGATTCGAAGTGCTAATTTCTGACTAATTGTCAATAGATTTTCCGTCAAGTGCAACAATATATATTTTGATCACTTAATTATCTCATCTGCCTTACATGTTTCGGTTCCAAGGAACCATCTTCAGAGACACTTACAACAAACCATGAAAACACTGGCACAGCTCAACATTCACAATATGTAATTATTCGTGGAAACTATTACATATAACGGAGTGTAAAGCACAACACTTCCCAGTATCTTGAATGCAGGTATAGCACTTGCATCTAAAAGACCACCCTCAAAACCGAGTCGTCAACGTTAAAATTTAAAGTTAAAAAATTAAAAAACGTTCAAGTAAAATATTATTCAGGCTCCTTCTTGGTGAATCGTCCCAATGGGGGGAGGCGTCAGCACAGAGTTGTGTAGGCTTGTGGTCGGGTGTATCTTACGCGGTGTGCGTTGCGTACT